TTTTTTTTTTGCGACAGAGTCTCACTTTGTTGTCCAGGCTAGAGTGAGTGCCGTGGCGTCAGCCTAGCTCACAGCAACCTCAAACTCCTGGGCTTGAGTGATCAGAAGAGCTGACGTTCTTAAGAGAGAATTCTTTAGAATTCTGCAAACAATAACTTTGTGTTAATGACCTTAATTATTTATTGTTTTATAAGTTACTGTAGTGTTTAATTACTTTTTTGTTTGTTTAAGAGATTGGGTCTTGCTCTGACATGCAGGCTAGAGTGCAATGATGCAATAATAGTTCATTGCAGCCTTGAACTTCTTGTCTCAAATGATCTTCTGGTCAGATCCCAAAGTGCTTGAGATTCCAGGTGGGAGTCATTGTGTCCATCTTAATTAATTTTTATTATGATTTTCAGATGATGATTTTTCAGTATGTGTTATGAAATATAACTCAAATGCATCACTTGTTAATGTCACAAAATGCCTGTTTTGTGTTGGCATAGTGAATTTTACGGTAGGTATTTAGAAAAATATTGTATGGTTAACATTGTTTTATTTATCTTTTTTTATTTCCTCAGTGCTATTATGTTTTATAATTCAGAATTACCATTCATTTAGGTTATGTGTACATAAGTTTGCTGTGGATATTTTACCAATACAGTATAATGTATGGTCCTTTAACATTTATTCATGCATGGTAAATATACTGTAACTATGTTGGATGTATTTTTTTCTATTCAGTTATGAGATAGTGATGTGTTTTCTTTTCTTTTCTTTTCTTTTTTTTTCCTGTTTTTTTTTTGGAGACAACAGTCTTGCTTTGTTGCCCAGGCTAGAGTAAGTGCCATGGTGTCAGCCTAGCTCACAGCAAACTCAGTCTCCTGGGCTGAAGCAATCCTGCTGCCTCAACCTCCCAAGTAGCTGGGACTACAGGCATGCGCCACCATGCCCAGCTAATTTTTTCTATATATATTAGTTGGCCAATTAATTTCTTTCTATTTATAGTAGAGACAGGGTCTCGCTCTTGGTGAGGCTGGTTTCGAACTCCTGACCTTGAGCATTCTGTCTGCCTCGGCCTCCCAGAATGCTAGGATTACAGGCGTGAGCCACCGTGCCCGGCCAGTGATGTATTTTCTGTGATTTTTTTTAATATTCTGTGGTTATGGTGGAAAAATACTATTTATTTCAGGCTTGTATATGTTTGTGTAATATGAATGTTTGGGTTTTTTTTTTTTTTGAGACAGAGTCTCACTTTGTTACCCAGGCTAGAATGAGTGCCATGGTGTCAGCGTAGCTCATAGCAACCTCAATCTCCTGGGCTCAAGTGATCCTCCTGCCTCAGCCTCCCAAGTAGCGGGGTCTACAGGCATGCGCCACCATGCCTGGCTAATTTTTTGTATATATAGTTTTAGTTGGTCAATTAATTTCTTTCTATTTTTTAGTAGAGACAGGGTCTTGCTCAGGGTGATTTCGAACTCCTGACCTCGAGCAGTCCACCCGCCTCGGCCTCCCAGAGTGCTAGGATTACAGGCATGAGCCACTGCGCCCGGCCGAATGTTTGGTCTTTATGTTGGAAACTAGGCTTCCCTAGAATTAATTTGAATTACATGTAATGATACTTTCTTTATTAAATAATTCTATTTGTGTTCCTGAATGGTAAGATCATGGTTAGGAGGTTTAATATTAGTACTGCTTTTTGTGTAATATTATATATTTTATATTAAATATTTATTTACACCTCTAGTTAATAGGAAACCTATGGATCTTTTATTTTGTAGATATCTCTCCTAAATGTGTGGTCAAGGAATTACCCCCAACAGGGAAAAGTAGTAGAGAAGTATTCCACACAGTGATGTTGGAAAGACATGAAAGCCATCCCATTGGAGATTTTTGCTTCAGAGAAATTCAGAAAAATATTCATGACTTTGAATTTCAGTGGAGAGATGATGAAACAAATTACAGTGCTGTGCCTTTGACAAAGAACGAAAATTTTACCGGTAGTAGAAAACAATGTGATAGAAAGGATGCTGGAAACAAGGCTATTAAAAATCAGCTTGGATCACGCTTTCAGTCACATACACCTGAACTGCATGTATTTCAAACTGAAGAGAAAATTGGTAATCAAATGGAGATGTCTATCAACAGTGGTTCCTTAGGTTCAACATCCCAAGGGATTTCTTGTAGGCTAAAAACCCATACTTTTAATCAATATGGGAATGATTTCTTCTATTCTTCCTTATTCACACAAAACCAGAAAGTACACCATAGAGAAAAGCCTTACAAATATAATGAGTGTGGCAAATCCTTCAGTTATGGCTCACATTTCAGTATACATCAGACCATTCATTCTGGAGAAGAACAATATAAATGTGATGTATGTGGTAAGGTCTTTAATCATAAATCAAACTTTGCACGTCATGGTAGAGTTCATACTGGAGAAAAACCATATAAATGTAAGGAATGTGACAAAGTTTTCAGTCGTTACTCACACCTTAAAAGTCATTGGAGAATTCACACTGGAGAGAAACCTTACAAATGTAAGCAATGTGACAAAGTTTTCAGACGTGATTCACACCTTTCACAACATTGGAGAACTCATACTGGAGAGAAACCTTACAAATGTAATGAGTGTGGGAAAGCCTTTAGTACACGGTCCACACTTACTAACCATCAGTTAATCCATAGTGGAGAGAAACCTTATAAATGTAATGAATGTGGAAAAGTCTTCAGTCAAGCAGCAAATCTTGCCAGTCATCGGAGAATTCATAATGCAGAGAATCCTTACAAGTGTAATGAATGTGGCAAGCTCTTTAGTCAGCCTGCAAATCTTGCAAGTCATCAGAGAATTCATACTGGAGAGAAACCATACAAGTGTAATGAATGTGGCAAAGTGTTTAGTCATCCCACAACCCTTGCAAATCACTGGAGAATTCATACTGGAGAGAAACCGTATAAGTGTAATGAATGTGGCAAGGTATTCAGTAGAACTGCAACTCTTTCAAATCATCGGAGAATTCATACTGGAGAGAAACCTTACAAATGTAATATATGTGGCAAGGTCTTCAGTCAAGCTTCACACCTTGGAAAACATTGGAGAATTCATACTGGAGAGAAACCTTACAAATGTAATAAATGTGGCAAAGGCTTTACTCAAACTTCACACCTCACATTACATCGTAGAATTCATACTGGAGAGAAACCTTACAAATGTAATGAATGTGGCAAAGCCTTTAGTGTGCATTCAAACCTCACTAGACATCAGATAATCCATGTTGGAGAGACACCTTTGTAATGAGTGTGGTATTTTCTTCAGTCACAATTCATTTCTTACACAATATCCGAGAATTCATTTTTAAGATACTCCTTACAAATGCAATGAGTACAGCAAACTCTTCAACTTGAGGTCAAGCATTAATTGACATTACAGCATCCATATTAAGAATATATGGTATAACTAATGCATGTTGTGAACCATTTATACTGGCCACAGTTCAGCAGACAACAAAGTATACATCTTTGATGAAACCATACAATTGTAACATGCATTCTGAGGTTATTACCCACATAATGAAAACTGTAGACCATCATAGGATATGTGAGGAATAATTCAGTGTCATGATTAATCTTTCAGACTACATACTGCAGAACAGTTAAAAGTCAAAATATGTTACAATCTGAGATATCAAAGGGACCAGGAATTTTGGAAATGGCCAGTTTTCTTTGGGTTATATTCAGTTATTTGAGGTTTATTGAAAAGGGTACATTACTGTTTATGACTTTCATCCTGAACTTGAAATGTGTTTATGTTGTACATTCTTACATGCTTTGATGGTGGTCTCTGGATAAGAAATTAATAATATGAATGGACTTATTTCATTAGATGAAGATCATTTCTATCTAAGTTTCTTGAAGAAAGACTCTACTCTTTATAATTAGATGTCTGAATGAGCATTTGGGAGAGGCTGAAAACAATGTAAAACTACGATGTCATTCATCATGCTCTTTGTTTCCAGGGTGCCTTTCTCCTGACTGGAGGGCACTGTGGGATAAAAGGAAAAAAATACTTACCAACTGAACCATACATAGAGCAGGCCAAGACCTTAGGGCATGAGGATTTAATAGGTTATTAGGGACTTATTGTGTGGTACAAATAATGCAGGGGAAATGATGGCCACCCGAGGAAGTATTAGTTTTATTTTTAAAATTGAAAATAACACTTGTCAGAGGGGAGAGTTTAATCAAAAGTACCAGTATAGTATGCCTCTTGAGTAGGATTCACATTGTTCTCCTGATACTACATTTTGCCATTGATTGATTCAGAGTGTGCTATTGGTCCCATTTTAATTAATGGAATTTAATCTTTTTTCTATAACTGTGAGTCACATTTTTATTTTATTTACTTTTTCTTTTTTTAAAAAAACTTTCCTCAAAGGTTCTGCTTGAGAGTCACATTATTTTTACGAACATAATACTACCTTAGTAGGATACTTCATAAGAAGTAATAAAAATGCATCAAAACCAGCCTGAGCAAGACCCTGTCTCTACCAAAATATAGAAAGAAATTAATTGACCAACTAAAAATATATATACAAAAAAAATTAGCCGGGCATGGTTGCGCATGCCTGTAGTCCCAGCTACTCGGGAGGCTGAGGCAGGAGGATCGCTTGAGCCCAGGAGTTTGAGGTTGCTGTGAGCCAGGCTGACGCCACGGCACTCACTCTAGCCTGGGCAAGAAAGTGAGACTCTGTCTCAAAAAAAACCAACCAAACAAACAAACAAAAAAATGCATCAATAAGCTCTTAAGACTGAAGGATCTAGAACAGTTTTTTTCTTGGTATACCCAAATAATATACAATTTTGGAAACATAGTTATACTTTGTGTTTGAGTTCTCTCTGCACTCTGCCCTAGATTACTTAATGTGTTTATAATGAAAACCTCCTACCACTGCAACTTGAAAATGTTACACTCTGAAACCTGCATTGCTGTTGGTGAATATGCAATGTGTTCTAATTCTACATGGCTCTTTCTTCTGTAGCAAGTAAGACCCATGGCATATATCATTTTTTACATAAAGTGAAAATAGGTATTTAGTAAAAATATATAAAGTAAATTGTAGGGAATAAAAATGAAAATAACACAATCCTTTTTTGGTTTTGTCCTTAAGTTGCTTGTAGATTAGTTTGAAAAGATTAATGTTCCTGTGTTTTCTCTCAAAAATGAACATACTCAATGGGAATATTTAATTTGGGTGGGTAAACTACAAAGCTCATATATTGACTCTCATATCATTGTTGGTAAGTTGAACTTGTGACTAGTCCACTAGAACTTGATTGAAGTCTGCCTAAAAGTTTGGTGTGAGTATTCAGAATGAAGATGCAATACACAGAAGTGTTGTGAGAATGTTTTACATAATATGGCTTTCTGGGGAAAGCATAATAGGTTTTGAATCTAGTGCATAAATGGCTTCAGGGAACAGCAATAGGTGACTGGCTTAAGTCATTATGGTTGTTACAGGGTGCAGGTGGGGTGGTTGTACCCGCATGTGCTTTCAACTTGTAGCTGGTGCCACAGGAGGGAGCGCTGAGCTGTTACTGTCTATTTGTCCAGGTGGATGCACTAGGAAGAGGGTGTGTAGAAGTGTAAAGGGCATTAGTAGTCAAGCATGGAAATGTAGACTGATTCTTCCCTGAAATACAGAATGGTTGTTCTTGGAAACTCCTGCCTTTTTGGTTTCAAAGATGCCCAGTTTTCTTTATGGGATTAACTGCATCACACATAGGTCCCATTATAGACCATATGATTATTGCAGATGTCTGTGAAATGATATTCAGTTAAGTTGCCTAAGACATTTTTTGTGCTACTTCAATGAAAACGTGTGAAAAGGTGTAAGTATTACTAAGCAACTTTTCTAGAAGGGTATTTTCTCAAAGGCAATAGAAATGTCATTTTCAATTTTTGAAAAATATGTCCTATGCTTCATGTTCAACTGTATTAAAATGACTTTTTGTTTTTGTATATGATTTTTACTTATAATTTTTTCCTTCCATGTATTCTAATCTAGCTTATTTGTCTAATATCTGTCTTTGCTGTGTATATTACTTCTCAACAAAAGAATTGTCATTCAGCATCCGAGTCTTATTGATGGCATAGTTGCATGAGCTTATGTTCCCCGTACGGTATTGTTCCTGAAGCCCCTACACTTAAGGCTAGAACTAGTTCAGTCCTTGTTTTTTTCATCATGATGGGTTGGCCATGTACTTGAAGGAATATGTGATTTCAAAGCAGCAGCATGGTAAGGTTTTGTTAGTTGTGGTTGTGACATTTTACCACAGAGTCAGCTGAGTTAAAACAGATACCATGTCCTGGGCACCACATGTTCACTCTGTAATCCAGATCTTGGGTTCTGTTGTACACTACAATGTTAGGAATGGTGGTGTAGTTTACACTGGCAGAGAAGAAGGTCGCTGTGGTATACTATAAGAGTAGCACGTGGGATTGTAGTGGCCTCAACCTCAAACTATCCCCAGCACTCTAAAGGGGAAAAAATGGAAAAAGAATGGTCGGGAACATTGAGATTGAGATTTCATAGGCACAGCCTAATCAGGTGGCTGCCTGGTCCAGCTCCATCCACTCTACATTTATTGTGTCTCAACATGCGCTGCAGTCCCATGTTTCCCTTGTCCTGGGGTGCAGAGTTTGCTGTCCATACTGCTCTAGCAAGACCAGGGTGTTACCCCACTAGCAGGCCATCGGAATGTTCTCTTTTCAGTTGCTTTGTTGGTTGGCTGATCCATCATTCAGTCACTCCATTGGCACTCAGATTACAAGGTGAAAAGAAAGTGTATCGTGTCCTTTTAGAGTGTGCCCATTATAGTATTGCTTTGACAGGGAATCATACTCTATGGTCAGAGTGAAGTCTCATGTATCAAGAAACAGAAGTTCCCCTCAAGGGTGACCATGGTTGTCCCAACATCCATATAAATGGCATATATTTGTCATGTCTGGGCACCAAGCTGTTACCACGTTCCTTGTGCCCATATGGAATCCTTTAAGAGTCTAGTAACTCACTTGTCAGTCTGACCACATGGCTTGGCTATTGTCATTGACCCACAAGTTGTAAAAAAAAGGTAGCAAGATATGTTGCTAGGGGTGCCTGCATGGCAATTAATATTGTATGTAGTTCAGTCAATTGAGTGTAATGTCAGTGTCTTGTCTTAGTGAAAGGATGGCCATCCATTGGATGGGAGTAAGGCACAGTTCTGTGAACCCTGTTGTGTGGAACCATCATTAAACTGTGCATAAACAGTTCATAGGCATGTCTCTGAATCTTGGTCCCCAGAGAGCCACAGGAGGAGCCACAAAATCCAAGGGTATGCTAGCCATTTGTTCAGGGAGTGTGTGGTCCCTTCCATCTAAGCTGGACCAAATTTTGAATGTACCATTTACTATTTGATAGTTGAGCTCTTTTGAGCCTGTTTGATTTTTGTTTTTTTTAAGGGACAGGTACTCTCTCTGTCTCTCAGGCTGGAGTGCAGTGGCGTGTTCATATCTTACTGCCATTTCAAGCCCTGCGCTCAACCTATGTATCCTCCTGCCTCAGCCTACTGAGTATCTTAGGACTCCAGGTAGGTGGTACCACATCCAACTGATTTTTTTATTTTTTATAGAAATTGGGTCTTGCACTGTTGCCCAGGCTGGTCTTAAATTCTTGGAGCAATCCTCCCACCTTGACCTCCCAAAATGCTGGGATTCCAAGCATGAGCCATGATGCCTGGCCAGAGCCTGTTCAGTTTTATTGGTGTTTGTGTGCGTCCAAGTGAGAATAGGCACTTCATGTAACAGCATCACATGGTGCTCCAACAATAAAATGTACAGTCCCCTCCAGCGCTCAATGGTAAGCAAGGTGTTGCCATTCAAAAGGTATATATGTGGAGCTGTCTCAGGTAACTTACATGTCAAAGATCTGAGAGGTTGGTGCAACCCAGTGGCATTTTTCTGTTGCCACAGCCCCTAATCAGTATGCATTGAGGTTACCGATACCTGTAATTCCATCAGGCTAGCAAGATCTAATGACTTTTAAGACCATATCTGGCCCACAGCTTATGGAACAGTGTCCAGCTCTCACTGCTGCATAGGGCCCCTTTCAAGGTTAGAAGCTTTGCCGTTCATCTTGATTAAGAGTGAAGAGAACATACAGGCAGGGTGCATGCTCTCCTCAGTGCCCAAAGAAGTCTACTAGATGTTGGGTCTCCTTTTTAATTGGTGAGTGCTATTAGGGCCAACTATTTTTGCCTAACTGTATCTGGGACATTTCTTTGGCTTTCTGTCCAGGTGGTCTTGGCATTCAGCCTGGGAGCATCCATTGTTGTTCCCCATGCCTTGAATACCTTTATCAGCAGGCAGTCTGGGCTATTACATTGGGACAGGGTGGGTTGAAACATTTTTATCTGTATCAAATCCTGAATTAAGAAAGTTGTCATGGCTGGGCGTGGTGGCTCACACCTGTAATTGTAGCACTCTGGGAGGCCGAGGCAGGAGGATTGCTCAAGGTCAGGAGTTCAAAACCAGCCTGAGCAAGAGTGAGACCCCATCTTTACTATAAATAGAAAGAAATTAATTGGCCAACTAATATATATCGAAAAAATTAGCCGGGCATAGTGGCGCATGCCTGTAGTCTCAGTTTCTTGGGAGGCTGAGGCAGTAGGATGGCTTGAGCCCAGGAGTTTGAGGTTGGTGTGAGCTAGGATGACCCCATGGCACTCACTCTAGCCTGGGCAATGAAGTGAGACTGTCTCAAAAAAAAAGTTGTCATTTTCTCCACCTAGTATGCAGTACTTTGTTAACCCATTGAAGCTTCATAGCTTAGGCGGCAGGCTGACTTAGATTTGCCTCACTGTTATGGCGCAAATCATTAGCTGTGAAGGACCATATCCCCTCAGTTTGCAGTGATGCTCTGTGCCACAAGCAGCCTATAAAATATGAGTCCATATAAAGCACTCAGTGATAGGAACCATTGTTACTGGCAGTCAGCATGCCCCAAAGGGCCCCACCCACAATCAGGTAAACACCATAAACAGGTAAGCACCATGGGATAGCACATTCATGCCCAATCCACCTGTTGTCTTCAGTCAGTTGTTTTTCCTTCTTTTTCTCCTTTACCTTGAGAGGGGTATAGGGCCACTGGCCTCCAGTGGGAACATGAAGACCTTTGACTCGTTCCCTACTGCCTCACTCAGTATGAGACATTAGGTCTGCAATGTGTCTTTTTAAACAAATGCAGTAGCCAGGTAGCATAAGACCTCACTGGCCTTTCTTCATATCTTTCTTCTAGATCATAAGTCTCCACTCTGTGGAGGCATGTATCCTTCATGTTGGTTTCCTCTCAGATGCCTCAGGGACCATCTGAGTGCATCTTTTTACTTCCCTCTCTGGGGCCTCTGGGTCTGTCTGAGTACCCACGTCCTGAGCTCTGTGCTCTCACTGATCACATCGGTGCCCAACAGTTTCAGGTGACTGAGTGTCTCACTTCTGGTTTCCACATTCAGTTCTCTCTGCCTGAATCCACGTAG